ATACAGATACAAATGAATGACTCAGCTGCACAATACAGATACTAATGAATGAATCAGCTGTTCAGTACAGATACTAATGAATGAATCAGCTTTTCAATACAGATGCTAATGAATGAATCCGCTTTTCAATACAGATACTAATGAATGACTCAGCTGCACAATACAGATACTAATGAATGAATCAGCTTTTCAATACAGATACTAATGAATGAATCAGCTTTTCGATACAGATACAAATGAATGACTCAGCTGCACAATACAGATACTAATGAATGAATCAGCTTTTCAATACACATACTATGAATGAATCAGCTTTTCAATACAGATACAAATGAATGAATCAGCTGTTCAATACAGATGCTAATGAATGAATCAGCTTTTCAATACAGATACAAATGAATGACTCAGCTGCACAAAACAGATACTAATGAATGAATCAGCTTTTCAATACACATACTATGAATGAATCAGCTTTTCAATACAGATACAAATGAATGACTCAGCTGCACAATACAGGTACTAATGAATGAATCAGCTTTTCAATACAGATGCTAATGAATGAATCAGCTATTTAATGCAGATAATATTCAATGAATCAGCTGTTCAATAAACATACTGGTACAAGCAATTCAATATATAATTAGCTACTAATAGTCACATTTTATCTAATAAAACGAAACAATTTATTTAAACATACATTTTTATTTAGATTTTTTTCTTGGTTGTTGAACATCTTAAAAATAATGTGGTCTGTTACAGAATGTAAAAATAATGTTGAGTGTTACAAAATGTAAAAATAATGTTGATTGTTACAAAATGTAAAACAATAGAAAAGAACAGCAAATAAAACGAATTGCTTTTTTAATTATTATTGTTTTCCAATGTTACTCCACAGAGCCCAAATGTCCTGTAGCAAAAGAAACACCTGTAAGCTTAAAGACTATCTGCCTTAACTTACTGACTTTGCAAAGTACGTTGCTCACCCTTCTGATACGGTATGTGGGCACACGAGAGAGGGAGCAGTTTTGTGCCACAACAGCTCCCATTTGTGCCACAACAGCTCCCATTATGTCTGAGGCTTTCAAAGTTTGTGCCAGCCTTGTTATAATTCTTTTCCAGGTATATTTTTTTCTCTGTCGTGATATAGTATTTATTAATGTGTATTACAGGTATGTAAATAGTTTAGATTTAAAACAACACTTTAACTAAGGCTGAGCTGGTTGCATTATTTTACACAAGGCTCTTATATTTTGACAAAATAGCCAGGGTGTCTGAGTCCTTGTTGGTCTCTGGTTGGTGGAAGTTTTCATTTTACCGATACCAACATATGTATATTATTTTAATAAATATTTATATCATCATGGGAATGCCATTTTAACAATCCTTCAGCTAAGTCAGTTGCTTCATTTTCTAAATGTGTGTTAAATTACATTCTGTGACAGAACTTGGGAATGAAATAATTGTAAATTGAAAGTGCCATGGTCATAGCCAAAGATAGGCATCCTGCTGATACAAATAATTACAAAAAATTCACACTATTTTCAGAGCTTTACATTTAGTTTTGCACCAATCGCTCATCAGTTTTATTTTATTATTTATTTATTGTCAGATTATTTGCACACAAAATTATGTTTTAAAAATAAGATGTGCCTATACATTTTTTTAAACACCCAGACCCAGGTTCTATTTTTTTCCTTGGTCTGGATATGTGCTGGGTGTTTTAATTATCAACATTTCCAATTATCTGGGTCAACACCAGACTCAGCTCTCTCTTTAATGCAATGAAAATATGTTGCTATGAGAAATATAAAATAGGGGCTTTTTAAATTGATTTATATTTATATTTTTGCCTCTTGAATTAATCTGACGTCTTTAATAATTAATAGTTTTTCATTATAAATCATTCAAGAAAATAAGAGTAAAAGTGAGTTGCAACTAACAAAACGCATAAATACTAAAATTATACTTTATTTATTCTATAATAAAAACCTTAAGTAAGACATACATGAACATGCCAATTGGTGGAACCAAAACATGTTCCAAATATACCAAAAAACATACAGAACAACATAAAAACATACACACAAAATTACAAGTCACAAAATGTAGGCATGCTTACAACACATCATCACTAAACAGTGATGTTAAATATTGGGATCATCAAATAGATCCATCCACCCATCGCTGTGGCGCTACAGCCCATGTAGGGCTTTGGCTTGCCTCACCTTCCTTACACTCAGACCATCCATCTCTGTCACGCTACAGCCCATGTAGGGCTTTGGTGTGCCTCACCTTCCTTACACTCAGACCATCCATCTCTGTCACGCTACAGCCCATGTAGGGCTTTGGCTTGCCTCACCCTCCTTACACTCAGATCTAACTGATGGTTTTCTTATCCATGCTTGGCTTCCAAGCTTCTGTAGATCTTTTTCACATCATCCATCCATCTAAGCCTAGATCTGCCTTTGAGCCATTTTCCTTTGGGGTTTTAGGGGTGCACCCTCTTCACTCCACTGTCATTCTTTCTAAGTGTCCTACCCAGCAAAAGCCTGCCTTTTTTTATTTCTGCTCCTAAAGTGGGATCCTGATAGTCTATACTATTCCTGTTTGGTCTGTATTTTCCATCCTTATTCATCGTTTGTTAGTCTGTATATTTTCCAGATAACCTAACTTTCCCATGTGTTTAGTACGTTTTCTATCATTTTTGTCAGGGTCCAAGACACACTTGCATATTTTTTAACTAGTCTGAATACAGTTAATGAATAGTTTTCATTGTTTTTTTTTGGTGTTTTTATGTTTGAGTATTTTGTGACTACTGAAGTATGCCCTGTTTTCGGCTGATATTCTTTCTTTTATTTCTGTTAGTAATTCATTTTTTTTCATTTTTTAGGATCCTAGGTATTTGAATTGATTTACTTTCTCAAAAGTCTGGTTTCTAATTTAATGGTTTCATCTGTCTGTTCTTCTCTTATCATAGTCATGTATTTTTTTGGTATTTTGGTTGTAACTTCTAGCACTGCTTGTAGTGATGCATCTTCTAATTCAATAAATGATATGATATTTTGATATGTCTTTACAACTTTTCCCTAACAGTGCTATGTCATCAGCATATGCAAGATACTGAAAGGGTCAGTTGTATAGAGTGCCTATTGCTTGTTGGTTTCCCCTCAGAAACATGTTCCTCAGGTGTCAATATCCAGGCCTATGCCTCTTATAACTCTCTCTAATGTTAAGTTAAATATCATACAGGACAGTGAGTCTCCTTCTCTTAGGTCTCGTCTAGTTTGAAATTCACTTGAATATTTACTATGAACCTTGATTTTGCTATTTGAGTTGTTTAATGTTACATGTATCATAGTATTGTCAGTTTGTTGGGGATATGCCAAACTCCTGCAGTCTTATAAAGATATTTTCTTTTGATCAACTATATAGCCCACAAGAATATTTCATTTGTTCCACTATTTCACTACCAATATTTTAATATCTTTTCAAAGGTAGGACCACCATTTACTAATCTTTTAAAAAATCATATTAAAAATGAGAATTTAGGTGATTGTTTTAATATAGTTTTATGTTTTTGTTTTTTTTACACATTGTGTTCTGTTTTGAGGGAGGGTGGGGCAGGCAAAGGACACAAACACTGATTAGACTTGGCGATGTTATATACTTTTTTTTATATTAAATTTTTATTTCCATTGATTCTCTGTTTCAGACTGGTGGCATAAGGGGTTTGTTGAAGCTGCTTTATGAAGACATTGTCCTTGAACCCTGGGACTGTGTCAAAGTGTCCATTCCATCTCTTGTCTATGTTTTACAAACCAACCTGGTTTATGTAGCTGTCTCTAATCTAGATGCCGTCACCTTCCAGGTAAATGAGATCCACTGGGCTCATGGGCATACCTTATATTTTAAGTGATGTGCAAAGACATCTCAATAAATGTCTTTGACATTGGCAGGGGCGTGCCAAGGAAAAGCAATGTTTCCCTGCATGGGGAGAAGCCTGAAAATGGTGTTTCCTCCTCCCCCCAGACCTAGACCTTAAAACTCAAAGATGGAAAGTGATGAAACAATTGTTAAGATTGTCTTTAAAACAGAGGAAATATGTCTTTTAAATTATTTTTTCCCCTTAAAATCCATTTAAGGGGTTAGGAAAAGAGGTGGGTACATTTTGTGAGGTTACGGTAACAATATCTCTAAACCTAAGATGTTACAGACGCCAAAATGTTGAAATAGATATTTTAAATAATAAAACCTGATCATTCCACAGACATGAAAAAGTATGTTCTTTGTTTTCTATTTCCCAAAAATACTGCATAGAATAAAAAAGGTCCATGAGATTCAACTCTATTAGACATTATGATAGCTACGTACTGTTATATGGTTTTGAAAATTTAATCAATATTAAGGTTTTGCTCATTTTTTGAACAATATGTAACAAAAGACTGGAAACAAGAAAACAAAGAAAAATGATAGCGAAGCTAGTGGTATTAACAATATTCAATAAATTATACCTTTAAAATTATATAAAAAAATACTATTATTACCTTACAAGTGAAAAAGTATAATCCTCGAAAAATACAAATAATAATATACATACACAAAGAGTAAAATTTTGTAGGGCTCTTTAATTACGTCTCGTAAATGTCAAGGAAAATTAGAAAAAAATCTCTATAGGCTAGAACAACTGCCATCTTATTTATAAGGAGTAAGTTAGAACCCTACAGAAAAGAAATTCTAGAAATTGTGTCAATGGATAGTATTCTTTAAAACAGATAGAATGTAAACAACCTTTCCCAATCAAGGGAAGGGTGGGTAAAAAGTATTGGCACTACACATCTAATTGGCGAAGACCATATAAAAAACAAATAAAAGGGGTGGGGGGCGGTCAGGGTAGGGTTGAATGCCATGGCTTGTGAATAAAAACTAAATTAACGTTAAGGCTTTAACAATGATTTTTAGTGATTCATCTATTTACATTGATATTCAGAAAATACTATCCACAGGTGATGTCTCCAATGGGTATTTTGATCACTGCAATCTTTTCTGTTGTGTTACTGAAGAAGGTCCTGAGTGGGTTCCAGTGGATATCTTTAGTTATGTTATTTGTTGGTGTTGCAACAGTCCAGATGCAGCCTAAAGAAACTAAAATGGGCCAGATGGTGATAGAGCACAATCCCATCTTGGGATTGGTAGCTGTTATCATCTCTCGCTTCATGTCGGGGTTTGCTATAGTCTACTTCGAGATGATCTTGAAAGGCACCCGGCAGTCGGTGTGACTGAGAAATGCAAAGCTGGGAGCGTTGGGTTTTGTCATCGGTCTCATCACAATGTATTTCAAAGATGGTGCTGAGGTGTCAAAGAATGGATTTTTTAATGGCTACGACTCGGTGGTTTGGTTCCTTGTGTATTGGCAGTGTTTTGTAGGCCTGCTGGTACCAATGGTCATTAAATATTATGGCAGCATCTTGAGTGGTTTGGTATCTTCTGTTGCAACAGTATTGTATTGTGGGATATCAATATGCCTCTTGGATTTCCAACTGTCTATGGAGTTCCCACTGGGAGCAGGTTTGGTTATTGGTGCTGTTTTTATTTATAGCTACTTTAAGCGAGAAAATAAGTCTGCCAAAGTAAACATATTCAACGCTTAATGTCCACAACAATAATCAGTTTTGTTTCATTTATATACAGTGACATCAAAATTGGGACTTTTTAAAAATATCAGAGCCTTTTATGGATACAGTCTTTATGGATAAACAATTAATTTCTATGCTTCGTTTTTATGTTCATTGATGAAAAATCCTTTCTTGCCAAAGTAAGTTGTTGTAGTAAAAGGTAGCAACTTTTTGACTTCCTCCTCATGATCAATTTGAAAAGACTTTGCATCTCTTGATGTTTTGAGCATAAGCAGTAGTGTCACCAGGGGCGGACAACCTCACATGGGAATGACACCAAATATAAAAGAGTAAATTTGACAGAGCACAGTAAAATTTGTTCAAGATAACAGATCTAAATTAAAGACAAGAGAAGGTTACCACAGACCAGGGTAAAATCAGAGCAGCTTGCCATCAGAGCCTACAGAGTTGGAGTATGTCCATTGGGAAGTCTGAATGGTGTGATAACATGAGTTTACCGCACTGGGTGGCACCAACTCTAGAGACACATAAAATAAACCGGGCTCTAGGTTAAAATGAAGAACATGAGATGTGAGCCTAAAAAGCTGCCCAAGCCCCTAGTAACCACAACATATTGGATGGGTTTCTCTATTACTTATTATGTTATACTGTCATGGGCGCCCGCAAGGGGGGGGGGGCACTTGCCCCCCCCCCCC